ACCTCTGGCCTGTACCCCAGTTCTTGTATGCATAAACAAATAAATCTTTTTTAAAAATAAAAAAAAAGAACTTAAAACATGAGAATCAGAAAATAAGCTACTCAATGTTAAAAATGGGCACAAGATCTGAAAAGGCATTTCACCAAAGAATATATATGGATTGCAAAATAAATGCATTAAAAATGCTCAATATCATGTCATTAAGGAGTTGCAAATTAAAGTAACAATGATATACCACTACATAGCAACTAGAATAGCTAAAATCTAAATAGCAAAAAAAAAGTGTAGCAACACGACTCTCATTCATTGTTGGTGGGAATGCAAACTAGAACACTGAATTTGAAAACATTTTGGAAGCTATTTAGAAAACTAAATAGTCTTACCATATGATCCAGCAATTGTACTCCTAGTTATTTCTCCAAATGAGTTGAAAATTATGTCTAAAAGGAAAAAACAAATACATTTATACCTCTATTCATAACTGTCCCAAAAATGGAAGCAATCAAGTTTTCCTTCAAGAAAATGGATAAACAAAGTGTGGGACACTGGTGGAATGGAATATTATTGAGTAATAAATAACTACTTAAGAAAATACTCTTATGTTGGAAAATGACCTTATACATTTGTCAAAATCCAGAGAAATAGAAAACACAAAGTATAAATCCTACTATGAACTGGACTTTGGTTACTAATAATATATCAATATTGGCTTATCGATTATAACTTATGTACCACACTGTTGATTCAAAGAGGCCCAGGTAAAGGGAGGGAAAAGAGAGAAAGGACATAAGAAGCAAATCACTTCAGATAGGAGGTGGCAAGTTTAAATAAGCAAGGGAACTTAGGAAGCTTATCTTGAGTGGCTGCAGGAGAAGAAAACCCTATTTACAGACAAGAAAAAAAAATAGATACATTTTTAAAAGTGAATTTACCAAAAGATGTGCAAAATCTCATGTGGAAAAAGCTAAGGCCCTTCTAAAAGTCACAAAAGTCAACTTGAGCAATGGATAAACATTCCTTATTCTTAGCTTAAGTCAATGATTAACTACAGAATAATTATTAACTATAGGAAAAACAAAAACAAAAAAAAGGAACTAATCATAGTACATTACCATGTTTAACTTAGAATATTTGTAAAGGCACAAGGAAACATGAATATTCAACTAATGAAGAGTTGTTTGGCAACTACATCTGGAAAATGGGTGAGGAGGGACCTACCTGGTGGTGCAAGGGGCTAATACACAGCCTATGAAGCTATCTGCAGCCACTGCAGCACGAGTTTGATCCCTGGCCAGGGAGCCACCCACATGGTGCAGTAGACCTCTCCTGACTCGCCCACTGCTCCCCTCAGCAATGCATTTCAGTATATCTGCCTGCTCTGCTCCCCACTCTGTCTCTGGTGAATCTTTTTACTCACCCCCTACCCCCGCACCTCTGGCCTGTACTCCAGTTCTTGTATACATAAATAAATCTTTAAAAAAAAAAAAAAAGAAAATGGGTGAGGAGAAGTCAAGGGGATAGTGTTTTAAGAGTTTACTCCAGATCTGTCATAAGGAAATAGAAAATGTCCAAAACTAATGAATCAAAACACACCAGACAACCTTTTGTGTGGCCAGGGCATATAAGGGAACCTAAATCCATGAATTTCTTAAGTGTCCTCTACTGATAGCACCCCAGATGCCTGAAAGCCAGTCACTGCCTCTCCAGAGGTGGGCACATTTGCCTCAGGCCTTGAGGAACATCTTGATTTTCAAAGACCATGAAACACAGTAAGATAAGAATAAGACAAATAGCGAAGAGGAAAAAGCAAAGCCAAGAGAGGGTAGAAACAGTCCTGAGTGGACTTCAGATGCTGGAATGACCATTTATAGAATTTATAGCAACTTTTTTTCTTATTTAAAAAAAAAGCCAACTTGAAAATAACTGCAGATAATAGAGAAGTATAAAAAGTAAATTTGTAGTATGAAAAATAAAACATGAAGAAATGATTTTTAAAAAATAACAACCAAGATTAAAAATTGAAGGTAGAGCCATCATGCCATCCAAAATCTATACTACTGCTGATTCTATCATTGAACTGACCAATTTGGAATATACTCTTATTTGATGTACAAATTTTACCACCCAAATACCTTATGAAGTAGATATATTTTTTAACAGCAGAGGAACATAAAACTACCACCAGAGTCCCACCTTGAGTGGAGAAATGCTGACATTAGGTCTGAAACCTCGTGGATGATAAGAATTGAAGGGCTAAAAAGAAGGGTTTGAGGGCCTCCCTGGTGGTGCAAGGGGTTAAGCACTGCACTATGAAGCATTTCACAGCTCAGCAGCACGAGTTCCATCCCCAGCCAGCCAGGGAGCAACCCACATGGCTAGGCAGACCTCTCCTGTCTCATCTGCTGCTTCCCTCAGCAGTGTATTTCAGTCTGCCTGTTCTGTTCCCATTCTGTCTCTGGTGAATCCTCTCACTGCCCCCCATCTCTGGACTGCACCCCAGCTCTTGTATCCATAAATAAATAAATATTTTTAAAAGGGGGTTTGAAAGTGTTTGAGACCAGAAAGGCAATCCTGGGAAGGCATCTTTTTGAAGGAAAGAGATGAATTGAAGGGAAGGAATCCCTTGAGGCCTTGATGATGAAAAGAAAGAAAGAAACAAGTAATGGGGCCCCCCTGGTGGCACAAGGGGTTAAGCAGCACACTATGAAGCAATCCACAGCCTCTGCAGCACGAGTTCAATCCCTGGCTGGTCAGAAAGCAACCCACATGATGAAGAAGACCTCTCCTGCCTCGCCCGTTGCTCCCCTCAGCTGTGTATTTCAGTCAGTCTGCCTGTTCTGTTCCCCTCTCTGTCTCTGGTGAATCCTCTCACCCCCCCAAGCTCTGGCCTGTAGCCCAGCTCTTGTTTGCATACATAAATAAATCTTTAAAAAAAAAGAAACAAGTAATGAAAATGTAGAGTACCACAGAAATTAAAGAGAATCAAAATCATAACATATCAACCTGGGTGCCACCCAAAAAAGTGCCCTCTGTTATGGTACAGTGCACTTCTTTCTATCAACAGAAGAGGGCACTCCTTAACTAAGGAGTCTGGTAAAAGATGCAAATTCCTGCCTTCCTTGTGACTGCTGAAACTGGAAAATAAGACACTTCAAATGAACATAAAGTGGCAAGGTAATAAAATATGAAGACAACAGAAAATTGAGAATGTTAAAAAAACTAACCATGAAACAGGAATTTGAAAGAAAACAAAACCTCTGGGTCCCTGGTAAAATGAACAAAACATTTACAAAGGAAAGAAAATAAGGTTTATATCATTTCATAACATATAAAGGCAAACTCAAGGAAAATGAGTGTGAACTAAAATATGTTCTTTAAGTACCAAGGCTATAGAAAATCAGTTCTAAATATGCAAGATCTCAAAATACTATGTTTAGGGCCCCTCTTGACGAATTTACTAGAGGTAAGCTTCATCCACGGAAGAACTTGGGAACATTCAGTAAACATGGTAATGGCAATAATTAACTATATTAAGCTCTAGATATCCAAATAAAACCTGGTGACCATGTCGCGCAGACCTCTCCTGTCTTGCCCACTGCTCCCCTCAGCAGTGTACTTTGTAGGTCTGCCTGTTCTGTTCCCTGCTCTGGCTCTGGTGAATTCTCTCACCCTCCGGCGCCTCTGACTGTACCCAGTGCTTGTATAAATAAATAAAAAAATAAACAAACAAACAAAATAAAAAAAAAAAAACCTGGTGACCAGTGTGGAAAATAGTAGGCTAATTTTGTTTCCTAAAAATGAAATGACTGCAGGGCCTCCCCAGTGGTGCAGCGGTTGAGCGCTGGGTTGCGAAGCTGCCCGCAGCCTCTGCAGCGCCAGTTCGATCACCGGCCACCCGGTGAGGGTCCCACATGGCGCACAGACTTCTTCTGTCACCTGCTGCTCCCCTCAGCAGTGTATTTCGTCAGTCTGCCTGTTCTGCTCTCTGCTCTGGCTCTGGTGAATTCTCTCACCCTCCCGCACTTCTGACTGTACCCAGTGCTTGGATAAATAAATAAATAAATAATTTTAAAAAAATGAAATGACTACAAAAGTGGAAGGCAGGAAAGGGAAAAGTTAGAGACCAGAAAAGCAATCCTAGGGAGGCATCTTTCTTAAGGAAAGAGATGTGAAGGGGAGTTATGGGTACTAGGAGAAAGACTATATAGCTGAAAAATAATACAGACCAGGTAAGGGAAGGAAATTTGAGATCAGAAAAGCTACAATTACAAAGGTAGCTTCTGGAACAAAAACACAAAGATTTTACCAAACACAAAAAGTAATGTTAAAATTTTTTGGTTTTACTGCATTACAAGATGTTTCAGGTTCATCTCTGTATTTCCTACCCCTTTCCTAGCAGCAGGCATTTCTCCAAGGAACCCTTCTTCCGAATCTACACAGAGCAGAATATCCGGTGAAAACAATAATTTCAGAGCTCTGAGGTGGGGTTACGGCTTCAAAATTCTCTGGTAATGTCCTACTAAGAAAGTGAAGACCCCAGTTCTTGTATAAAAATAAATCTTAAAAAAAAAAAAAAAAGTGAAGACCTGGTATAGCAAAAGGGCTGGGAAGCGCCCGCGGGCCTCGAACCACCCTGGGAGGTGGTTTATGTTGCTGCAGTGCGACGAAGTAACCGCTAAGCTACGGCCAGCCCCGGGAAGGGATTGGAGTTATATGCCTTTGACTGGAAAGCAGGACATACGTCACAATGACCTAACAAAGGGAGTGGTTCCGCATGACACAGCCTCTGGCGAATTAGCCAATACAGTGCCTATTGCCTCTTCCCTATCCCTCCCCCATCCCACAGGACGTGAAGCGGGCCAATCTAAAGGTACCGGATAGTGAACTTTTCTGCAGTTGCGTTGGTCTTACTCCTACCTTGGGCGGTCATATGATCCACCAGAAGTTTTTGCACACACCCTCCATCCCCTGCCCTCCCCCATAACCGAGTAGTCACTGACCAAATCAACTTTCACAGCTGGCGCCTGAGTGGAGAATGGAATCTTCACAAGCTGCAAATTAACTTATGGCTATATTTTGCAAGTCTGCGGCTATACCAGTTAAACTCCACAGTTCCTTGGAAAGGTGTTATATAGCATTACTTCTTACGTTTTAAAACACGAATACCCTCTTCCTTTTATGTGTACTATAAACGGCTAACTTTTCCTACATTTCCTTCTTTCCTCCAGTTACTGTTACCATCTTGGTATCCCTCCAGTCCTTTTCCAGTCAACACAATATAGTTTCATGATTTGGGTGGGATTACTGGGGATCAAGCTGTTGGGAATTGCTTCTGTATCTGCCAAACAGTATGTCTTACTATAATTCTTGTCAGTATATATACATCTAGTTCATGTATCCTCTAATTGCTGAGTTAAATTCAAGTATAAAGGTGCTGGTTTTATTTTTAAATGTTTCACTGTAATAAAACTGCAGTACATTCTTGCACATATATACACATAGCAAATACCTTTATGAGTAGAACTGCTGGGCAAGTATTTACATTTTAATTTTTAAGAGGGATTTATGGGAGATGCAAGAGGCTCAGGGGGAGCGTTAAGAAAAACTCACCTGAAGCCACAGGGATCTTCTGCTTCCTTAAAAGGCAATTTCACCAGAATGAAAATTCCATGACAACTGGGATCTTACCCCAAAAGATACCACCACGGCCTAGGAGATGCTCAGTTCCTCAGCTCTCACTGAATAAATGAAGGTGTAGGCCAGTAGAAAGCAAAATGACCATGGATTTCAGAAAGATCACAGATATCCAAGTCTCTCTTTTAGATATTTCTCAGTTCACTGGGTTTGCCTGGGTTCCTAAATTTCCAACCCATCCCCTTCCTCTTTCCCAAGTTACCACTTTCAGCCCCTCCAAACATTCACAGCCTAGAATAGGCCCCTTGGCACTTGCCAGTCCCAACAGAATTCAGAGAACCTGGAAGTCAGAACTGCTTTTTAGTAGAGGTGGCCAGAAATAAGATCCGAACGTACCAAAGGGGAAGAGAACTCATTTGAAGTCAAATTTAACGGTTTCCTAATGAATGAATCCTGCATCATGGAAGAACTCAAAACTATACCCTCATCAGTCTACCTTGAAAGGGAAGCAACGGATCCAGTCAACAGGTTAGTTTTACCTAAGAAGCTGCAGTACACACCCCAGCAAAGAAAGCACCACTTGATATGCCATACGCCTGCATTTGGCCAACACTTACTTACTGTATGTGAAACTTTGAGCCAGATGAAGTGTTCCCAGTGGCAAGATTAGGAACCAGGAATTAACAAGGCAAAGGCAGCCTGACTGCAAGGGAATTTTGTACAGAATCCAAAGGGAAAAAGATGGGTTGGGGGGGGAGAAAGATGACCCACCAACAGTTCAGGTGCTATATAAACATGTGTGTGGACCTAAGCTGAGGCAGAGAACATAAATAGACATATGGTAGTGACTGTTAACCCAGCCCCTTGCAGGGTACAGAACCAGTAAAAATTAAATAATGCACCTTGAAGTTTGTGTAACCACTTTTTCTTCTTTTCTTTTTAGTAGGGATTGTTTTTGTTTTTACATTGTTCCACATGCCGGGGCCTGGCACACTCCCTGATCTAGGGAATATCAAAGTTTTATTTATTTTTTTTTTTAGCCAACAAGTCTGTGCCACCCAATTCTCAGGTTACACCAAAGTGGAGAAGTCAGCGCTCCGAAGTTCTGAAGGGTATGATTTTGGTTCCCCTTCCTCCCAGGCACAGAGACATCTTCAGTTGTTAAAACTTGGGGAGACTGTACCATTGGCATCCAGTGAGTAGAGGCTGTGGCTACTGGTAAACATCCCACAGTGCAAATGGGGGTACCCACAACAAATGTTGAAATGTCAACAGTGCTAAGTAACTCTGTGCCAAGTGTGACTGCAGACACTGAGGAAAACACTTAAGTTCAACCCTGAGCTCTGCTATTCCAAAAACAAAAGATCAGAGGAGGCTAAAATTTTAGGGAAAGTTTCATTCAGACTCCTCGGGGCACAGATCCCATCAGAGGAAAGTACAGCTCGTGCCGATGGAAAATAGGGGGAAAAAGGGGATAGGGCTCAAATGAAATGAGACAAGAGCAAGTTCTATCTATACGGAAGTCCTCAGTGTGGAAGGAAAAACAATGCACAGGGGAGAATATGGAGAGTTCCCATCACCGTGGAACACGCACAGCCAGAGCCATTTAGTATACACAGTGGATAGCCCATGACCCAAGGGCACCCACAGGAGGTTTTTTCCTTTTTCTTTTTTGCATCAAACAGGTTCTTCCAAGAACCTGTTCACAAGGAAGACAAGAGGAATCCTCAATAAAATGAAACAAATAGGAAAAGCTGAACAGTCTACATCTGAAGAACAAAGGTTAAAAAACTCACCAAACACAAACCACACCAAACACTCATCCCATTTAATTTTCTGTTACATGCGCTGAGGAAGCCGAGAACATCAGGCGCCAAGGCAACAACATTCTGAGGCTCAAGCTCCCTCTATGTGACAGATTCATGCACACACACCCGCACACACCACCAACCCAGGCAGGAGTACACATGCATGCACAGGTGGCCAAAGAGCCACAGGGGGGATGCAGGAAATGGGGGTATGGGGGTGTCAAAGATATGCTATCAACTGGAAACTGGGGACCCAGAGAATCCTTCCATTGCAGGCTGAGTAAAGTTGAAAATTAGAACAAAGGCTGAACACAGGATAAACAGGATGCTCAGAGAAGAGAATGGACAGATGAAACGGGAAAAATGCAGGGGGAGTTTTGGGATAGTAGCCTCAGAAGAGGTGGTTTTTCTTTATTGGAAACGCAGATGGGCAGAGGTCCTGTGACTCCAGTGATATACTGAGGCTGAAGGAATGTGCCAGAACATTACCTCTGCATCCTGTGCCCTCTCTCAAGAAAGAGGGAAACCACAAACAACCACCCTCTTGCCCTCCCCACTGCCACTCTGAAGGACTTTCCCCACGTGCCTCCCCCAAATTGATCCCACACACACACAAAATTAGGCCCAGCAAAGGGCCAAGCACAGAAAGCCTCAGTAACTCTTCTTGGTGGAACCAAAGCCAGAGAAGCCCATCACAGCTGCCATCTCATCATCCTCCTCAAATGTCAAGTCCTCCTCAGCCCTCCTTTTCTTCTCCTTCTGTTTCTCTTTCTTGTAGGCTTTGGCCTTTTCCTCCTAGTGGGGAAAGAAAATCACTCAGAATCAGTTCAGACTCCTGAGCCAAATATTGTTGAAAGATAGAGAATTTCAAGATTCTTTTCTATCTTTAGGAGAAAACAGTTAAAGACAAACTCGCAAGAGCAGGGCAAAGTCATGATAAAGATTACAAGGGACAAAAAAGAAAAGTTTTAGCCTCTGGAAGGCACTACTCAAGCCTATAGTTAATCTCTAGTTCTTGACAAGGTTAAGGGAACAAAACAACGTAATACCAGAACTAGTGTTCTGGGGCATGCATTATAAGTTAGAAAACATTTAAGTGCCTTATGTCTATTATACTAAGGTTTCTTATATGGGGAAACTGAGGCACAGAGCAATTATATAAGTTGCCTCAGAGTTGCAGCCAGCAGGTGGAGAAAAACAGAATTTGGACACAGTCAGTTGTTTCTTTTGACCTCTTGGGGACTAAGTACATTAGTTAATTCCTCCTATTGCTTAGGGGAAAAAAGTATAAATGAAAGTTGAAATATACAGAAATTCAAAAGACACGACTGTACTGGGGGTGGGAGTGCGATGAGGAAGAGCATATGCCCATGATGCACAACATAATACACAAAGCTAGGGAGGAAGGAGGGAAAGAAAGTAGAGACTTACCTCTTCTCTGAGTTCCTTCATCCTTTCCTCAAAATCATAATCCTTCTGCTTCTCTTCCATCTTCTTCTTGTTGACTTCAAAACGTTTCTTCACCTGATCCAAGGTGGAACGTTCCACACGCATAGACATGCCCAGGTTTCGCTGATCTGCATGGTGTACCCAGCGAAAAAGGTAAGGTCATTAACACAACTTCAATCTCTCAAATAGTCTTTTCCTGACATTAAAAAAAAAAATCTCATAAAGCATGCAATAAAAGTAATTTTGCCTGAAAAAACCCCCTTGGCTTTACATGTTTGCAAGAGCAGCCACCCCAGATAACAAGATGCAAGTGGCTTTCAACTGCCCTTACTGAGCAGAATGTACTCCAGTGGGACAGTGGCGCGCAGGAGAAGAACATGACTTGGGCTTATGAGATCCTAGAACAGTGTCTTACCTCATGGCGTTGAGAAACAGACAGTGAAGTACAGGATGGTTGGCGTTGAAGCAACTAGAGAATTCCCCAGATATTAAAAAAAGGACCCAACAGAAACCCCCGGCCCCTCAGCCCACCCCCAAAATCCAATCCCAGCCCCAATCTCAGCCACAAACTACCTCCAAGCCTTACGTTTCTTTCCATTGATGTGATCCAGAAAATTAATGGAGTCCTTTACCACACAGTCACAGACATTGCAGTAATATCTAGCAAAGTGAAAGAAATGGCACATGTCAAACCTGATTTTAAGGAGCTTGTGCATTCCAGTGAACAAACTTTTTCTTTTAAAGATTTATTTTTATTTATTTATGCATACAAGAACTGGGGTGTAGGCCAGAGGTGCGGGCGGTAAGAGGATTCACCAAAGACAGAATGGGGAGCAGAACAGGTGGATCTACTGAAATACACTGCTGAAGAGAGCAGCAGGCAAGACAGGAGAGGTCTTCTGTGCCGTTGGGTCAGGTCCCTGGCTGGGGATGGAACTCATGCTGCAATGGCTGCCAATCACTGGCGATAGCCTGATAGTGCTGAGACTTTAACCCCTGCACCACCAGGGAGGCCCAATTAACAAACATTTTTTTTTCCCCCTAAAGATTTATTTACTTATTTATACAAGCACTGGGTACAGTCAGAAGTGCAGGAGGGTGAGAGAATTCACCAGAGCCAGAATGGGAAACAGAATAGCAGACTGACGAAAATACACTGCTGAGGGGAGCAGTGGGCGTGGCAGGAGAGGTCTGTTGCGCCATGTGGGACCCTTGCAGGTGGCCAGGGATCGAACCGGCGCTGCAGAGGCTGCGGGCAGCTTCACAGACCAGTGCTCAACTTCTGCGCAACCAGGGGAGGCTCCCCAATTAACAAACATTTTTAAAAGAAATTTCATTTTAGAAAAGGAGGCACACTTCTTCTTTCCATAAAACTGTAGCTGTTGAAACAGTGTGGGAGCCAATCTCCAGAAGGCCTCCATGACAACCCCACCTTCTTATATGGGGAAACTGAGGCATAGAGGGATTATAGAAGTTGCCTAAGATTTGCAGTCAACAAATCCTTCCCTCTGCCATCCCCTCCCAATTTGTACCAGTGTGGGTCTGGGCTTCCAACAGAATATATCAAAAGTACTATTTACTTCCAAGGTTAGGTTATTTTAAAATGAGGTTTCTGTTTTTGTCTGTTATGTGGATCACTTGCTTTGGGGAAGTCATTTGCTTTACTGCGCGCAGAACTACGGAGAGGTCTGAGGCCTCCAAACCACAGTCACAAAAGAGAGTTTGGAAGCACATTCTCCAGTCCCACTCACATCACAAATGAATGCAGACACCTTGCTTGCCCCTTTGTGAGACCCTAAGCAAAATTCACCTAAATATGCCCTTCTCAGATTCCTTACCCACAAAAACTGAGCTATTTGTTTTATGTTGCAGAATTTGGGGTTAATTTACACAGCAACAGATTAAATAGCACAGCTTGGAAAGACAAAAAAGGGTTTACTATGCAGCTCAGAAAACTCACTCACAGCCATGCTGTCTACCTTCTAAAAAAGCTAACTAAACAGAGAAGCAATGGTAGGCAAAAGAATGACGAGTTCTTATAGGACCCTTCTTCCTATAGGTTATAAACTTGGTCTAGAAGGAAGACACACAACGAAGCAATCTATAACAATTACAACCTTTGCAACCAGGCTGGAACCTCAGCAGGCAGCTCCTAGTTCCATCTAATTTCTCTGTTAGAAATCTCCTCAGTAGGCCTTTCAAACTCCATTTGTTCTCCCTTGGCAGGAGAACAAATAATCCCTGTTAAGCAAATACAGTGCTAATATGAAAACACCTAGAGAGTGACCTCTCCTGGAAATACTATGTTCACTTGAGACCTTAGGTGACAAATACATACATACATACATACATACATAAATAATCCAAGAATGGAACTACTGTCAACAAGGTTGTTATATGGACTCCCTTCAACACTTCTTAAACCCAACAGAGATAATTTATTACACCTACTTGTGGCTGAAGAGAAAGATGAAAAGCCACTCACCCTCCCATCTCAGACTGTGGGGTGGTCTTGGTAATGACAATTGTCTTCCCAAGCTTGGATTCCAGGTCCACCTTGTAGTCCCTATGTCGGAGAAGCTCCCGCTTGACTGGCTGCACTGGTTTTCCTGAAATATAATGGGGAAGGAAGTGCCTTCAACATTACAGTTCCTCAACTAGAAAGGAAAAGAAATGCAGGAAACCCAATATCCAGGTTTACTCTTTTTTTTTTTTTTTTTGTGGGACCCTCGCCAGTGGCCGGGGAACGAACCGGTGCTGCAGAGGCTGTAGGCAGCCCCACAGCCCAGTGCTCAACTGCTGCGCCACCAAGGGAGGCCCTATTATTTCATTTTTTTTTTAAGACTTATTTTTGTGTAGAAGAACTGGGGTACAGGCCAGAGTTGCGAGGGCGGGAGGGGGGCAATGTATGCTTGAGAGGATTCACCTGAGACTGAGTGGGAAGCAGGACAGGTGGATCTACTGAAATACACCACTAAGGCAAGCAGCAGGCGAAACAGGAGAGGTCTGCTGAGCCCTATGTGGGTCAGCCCCCTGGCCAGGATCAACTCAGGGCCACGCAGTAGTAGCACTGAGATTTAACCCCTAGGCTACCAGGGAGGCCCCTCATTTCTTTTTTAAATATGGTAACAAGGGACACAATGCTAAGCAACAACTAGGAAGAACCTGAACACAGGAAAAATGGTAACCAACCCTTAACTCTCTACAGTTCTTCCCCATATTAAAGCCACCAAGTCAGTCCTCCCTGGTAGTGCAGGGGTTAAGTCTCAGCACTATCAAGCTATCACCAGCCACTGTGGCCTGAATTCGATCCCCAGCCAGGAAGCTAACTATATTGCGCAGCAGACCTCTCCTGTCTCACCCACTGCTCCCCTCAGCAGTGTATTTCAGTAGATCCGCCTGTTTTGCTCCCCACTCTGTCTCTGGTAAATCCTCTCTCTCTCCCCTACACCCCAGATCTTGTATGCATGAATAAAAATAAATCTTTTTTAAAAATTTTACAAATAAAGCCAACAAATCAAAAAAGTGTCATGTTTTCTAGTCAATAATTAACTGGAATAAAGGGAGTGCTGAACTTTCACCAAAAAAAAAGCAACGATTTAAAAGCAGTAACACTCTACAGTAATGCTTTCAGCCAGATAACCCAAGCAGAACACAGAAAGGAACCTTCTAAGAACTGGAGGAAAAGTTTAATATAGACACCAACTTAGAGGAAAAATAGAAAAGGGTTAGTGTGTGCAAAGTGATGTGGAAATAAAGCAGAAGAATGTGCAAATTTGAAAACAGATGAGAAAAATAAGACATTTCTTTTTGTAAAGTGGAAACTCTCCTAGGAGAGAAGCACCAACAATAACATTGTATAAGGCACTACTGAGCCCCAATGAAACAGACTGTAGGGCAAGGTCTTGACTGGGATAGGATTGTTCTCCTAAGTTCAAAGAGGATCTTTAGCAACTTCTTTTTCTTTTTTTTTTTTTTTTTTAAAGGTTTATTTATTCATGCATACAAGAATCAGGGTACAAGCTAGATGCGCGGGAGGGTGAGAGGATTCACCAGAGACAGAGCAGGGAACAGAACAGGCAGACTGACTGAAAGCACTGCTGAGGGCAACAGCAGGCACGACAGGAGAGGTCTACCACGCCATGTGGGTCTCTCCCTGGCCGGCCAGGAATCGAACCGGCGCTGCAGAGGCTGCGGACAGCTTCACAGCGCTGCGGTCAACCCGCTGCGCCACTGGGGAGGCTCAATAACTTCTTCTGTCACTACTAAGGATTCCAATCTCTTTTCTGTACTTGGAAAGGGACTATTAATGAGCCAAGCAAAGAGAGAAAGCAGAGGATAACAGGACTGGAAAGCAGCTCAAAACCAGTCATTCCATCTCCTCGCTCTCCCTTTATACATGTAAAAATCGAGAAGCAGGAGGCAACGCCGTGCCGAGGTTACACGGGGTAGGAGGGCAGTGCATTTCCACTTCCCACCCGCTCTCTAGCCACTGCACTGTCTCTACGATACCCTCAACCCTTGACGGAGCAGGAACCCACCATCCTTCTTTTCTCTCTCTTCCGTGAGCCTCTTCTCAGCGAGCTTCTCATATTCATCTTTGTCCCACTTTCGGCGAAAGTCCAAGTTTTTTGTCTGTGGGGAAAAAAGCGCTCAAGATTCGTCGCTACTCGTGTCCGAACCCCCAGAGAAATGAAGGGAACTGCGTCCTCGCCGCCAAGGCGGCCCCGGGACCTTTCGAGAGCCAAGTCTCTCCGCACCGCACCAGGAGGCTGAAGGGGCCTCAGGACCCCAACCCGAGAGACCTCCACGATTCCACTGACCCTGCGCCAGAGTCTTAGGGGGGAGTTCTTGAACCCGGACCCTTGGGTCGCGAGGTGGTGTCGGGAAGCCAGTCGGGTGCAGGATATCCCGTGCCGAGAAGCCCCCCCGTCCCTGACAAAATCTCACCCGCACACACAACACCTACCCCGCTGCCCGACGCCATCTTCACTGCGAGGTGAATGGGATGCTGGAAAATGCCGTAAAGGGCGGCCTTGAGCCGTAAAGCGAACTTGCCCTCCAATGAGATTAGCGCCTCGAGTTCGACTGGGGCCAAGCGCCGGAGGGCTGCTTAAGACGACTGGTCGGCCCCGCCTCCGCCCCAAGGAAGTGGCGCACGCGCAAAGAGAGTATGAAGCAACACGGAAGTAAGGGCGCCGGCAACGCTTATTTGCCCTGGCTTTCAAAACAAAAATCCCAGAGTTGATCGATTTAGTTCAACTCGCCTATTTTACAAACGAGGAAACTGAGCTACAGTTCAGTGCCCAACTGTTTAACTTAGCGTGCACTGTCAAGAGTTTCTAAACCTTTCTTAAGACGGAAGGGCTGTTATTTGGAAGTCTGGATACCCAGTTTATCTGTATGCACTAAAGACATGGCCCCACAACATTGAAGTGTTTACAAAGGCTACAGCCTTCCCAAAGCATATATTAAAAGCACCTTTTGCACTTTTTTTGAAGCAATGCTATCACCTTTTGGTTAATTCATTTTTCCTTCAACCGAATGACATTTACAGTCATTCAATCTATATAGCACAGTTTAGTCAACATGATTGAAGTTGGCAAGATCAGTCATCAGCAATACCTAGGGTGAGAACTCTGGTAGATGACTCGCTGAGTCGCTGAATTTTAGCGACATGATAGTATCTCTCAGGTGGGGAGGGAGGGTCAGGAAAAACTGTCACTGCTCCATTAACTGGATATAGAAGCATCATCCCACAGAGATTACTCCTAGCTCAGTTAGAATTCTTCAGCGTTTTATGTGGCCTATGAAAACCAAGCCACTAATAACAAATCACCCAAACTAGTACATTTAACACTTTATTTAACATATTAACCAACCACTTCTAAAATAACCATCTCTTTGGCAGGACATGGAACAGTCACAGAAGTGATTCTGACACAGGAAATGATCTTGTGAAGCTCAAAAATTCAGAACTCCCCCTTGCTGAGTCACTTATTAAGTTCAACATTCAGAATTATTAAACAGCCTCACCCTGCTTTGTTAACAGTGGATGGACTAGAGAGATGCCACATCAGTATGGGCACTGCTCTGCCCTTGGGATAGCATGTCCCTCCTCAATGCAGAAAGCAACCATTGCTCCTCCTCTCTGACTCCCCAAAATTCCCTGGACAAGATAATGCAGGCTGTAGATAAATTCCTCCAGAATTTGGTTCAGAAGCTATGGTGTAAGACTAAGTATCACAATGGTTCAGAATCCTCCTGGCCTGAGGTTATTTTCCCAGAGCCTTTCTCACAGCATCATTTCAGCACCCACTGCTGACATTCAACGGCACTTCAAATTTGCCATTTGGCTTTGAGGTTAGAGCAAGTGTCTTTCACATACAAGTCATCTGTGCCCACACAGAATAGCTGCTCACACTAGCCCGGGAGTCATCAGGGTCTCATAGTTCTGTACCCAGGCAGAATGGAGGAAGCAGAAGGCACTTGTCATCCATCCTGCAGTTGTGAAGTCCATCAGGAACTCAGCCCCAGATGAAGCCTTTTCTACCAAGAGCTGTAGATGGTGATCATGTGAGGATCAAGACTCAAACAGTCGCTTCTGAATTTCGGCCACAAGATTTTCCCGTTTAATGTCCACCTGAAACATAAGAGAACCCTCATGTGACAAACTAGAGAGTGGTCCTAGCTCCTCAGCCACTGCTTTTCTGAATTCATTTAATTCATAAATGCTCCTACCATTTATCTAACCAGAAGGGAGTAAAGGGGGGCTTCAAGCTGACCTGGGGAATGTATGTCCTCAAGACAGAGGTATTCAAACATCTGGAAAATGTCCATTTTATTGATTACTCTCAAGATACCCAATGAAATTTCGTTTGTCCTACTCCTGCCCACTAAAGCAATTCATTGACCGCTAAAGGTGGATATACTTTCATCTCTATCACTCTCAACCTGCAGGTAATTCATCAGCCAAAAGACACAAATTTCTTAAAGAATTTAAGAAACACTTGGTCCCTTCTATTTCTGCTGGCACCTCCTCACCTCCTCCCTGCTGGCCACTGTTCGGAGCGTGATGATCCCTTCCTTCACTTCTTTCTCACCAATAATCACCACCAGGGGAATGCCAGCCTTCTCACAGTAGTGTAATTGGGTTAGTAGTTTAGGGTTGTTCTTATACAGCAGCTCTGCCTAAAAAGGGTCAAGACAGAAAGGGGTTTAGAAGTGACCACACCAGGAGCAAGTTATTTCAAAAGAAATGAGTTACTAGTCCTCTCATTGCTAAGAAGACACTCTACTGAAGACTAGAAAGCTCTTGGGTTCTACCCTCTGTTTAAGGTAAAAATGGGCCTGGCACCTTAATTTTTACCTACATGCTGAGGTGGCTTAGATATCAGCAACCATACCTTGATCCCAGCATCCCAAAGCTCTGCAATTAGCTTCAACCGTTCCTGAAGAAAGTTCTTCTGTGGTGTGGCCACAAACACCTGTGTCTCTGTGGTCCGTATATTCTTACCAAACATCTAAGAGAAGAGAGCAGCTAAAACTACCAAAAACTTCCTTGGTACCAGTAATTCAAAAAAAAACAGGATGAAAAGAATCACCAGAAAAGGAGTTCTCAAGAAACATGAGTTTTTAAGCCTCCAGTCCCATTCCACCCCTACTTAGGACTTACATTCATTCTCTGCTCCATGATGGAGAAGATTCGCTCGACTCCAATGCTGAGCCCCACACATGGCACATTGTGGCCAAACGTGCCCACCAGCCCATCGTAGCGTCCTCCAGCAGCAACACTGCCCACATTCAGGGGCTCCTCCTCAGGCTGAGCTGGGGTTGGTAGCAGCACTGCTTCATAGATCACTCCTGTATAGTAGTCAAGGCCCCGAGCCAGGCTTAGGTCAAAGGAGATCTGTAAGGTTATAGTTAATATGATAAACTCGATACCCAGAGAACCCTAGAGTGCAGCAGGAGGTCATCCCTCTCCCAATTTACCTTCTCAGCAACTCCAAATAAAGTCAGGTATTCAAACAGCAGCTTCAGATCTTCTAGGCCCTTTAAGGCCTGCTTGTTCTGAGATAGTCCGTGGTCCTGAAACATCTGCTTCACCAGGGACATTCCACCTGAGGAGAATGTGGAGGAGAGGTAAGATCTGTACTATTCACCCAGACATACTTCACCCAATTTTTGTCTTTTTTTAAGATTTATTTATTTATGCATACAACAACTGGGATACAGGTCAGAGGTATGGGGGGGAGGGGCGGTGGTGAGAGGATTCACCAGAGCCAGAGTGGGGAATAGAACAGGCAGACTGACTGAAACACACTGCTGAAGGGATCAGCAGGCGAGTCAGGAGAGGTCTGCTGCGCCATGTGGGTGCTGCAGTGGCTGCCGATAGCCTCATAGGTGTGTCTTAACCCCTTGAGCCACCAGGGAGGCCCTACTTCATCACAGTGTATCCCTAATGTGCCCTAGCTAGGCTTCCTCATTCTCTTTACAACAAATTTTAATGTCATATGACCAGAGTCTCTCCTTTACCTATACCTTTGCCTTTTGAAGACATAATGTGGCTACAATAAGCAAAAAGGGGAATTAAATTAAATTTAGGTCAGACGCTGGAGCTAAGCACATCTACACAAAGGAATTCTTTCAGAGGTACAAACAGTGCACACATCACCCTCATGCTGGTTCTGTCATATAGTTCTGAAGATCCTGGTTCTTACCATGACATTGGACATAGTCCCCAATTCGATCAGCCACGTTAGGAGCCAGGCCTTTCTTTACCACCATCTCATATTTCACATCTTCCCAAGACATCTGCATGAACAACCAAACATTAGCCCAGTCTCAGGATCCTTCTTTCTCTAACTGGAAAAGGACATTTCGCTTTCAGTCAGTGTGTGTATCACAAGTAACTAACACCAGACTTAGCAAAGTCACAGGCAGATTAGGAAGTCCAATCCCTGCTGCACAGCAAATCTCAGATCTTGTTCCAGAATATTCCCCCCAGCACCTTCCCAGAAATAGCTCATCTCCAGCCACCATCTCTTTATTTTCTTTAGGGGCATGGATTTGAGGGCAAGGCAGGAACTCTGATAAGGTCCATTGAAGAATGTCTTCTTTCCTACCTTTCCTAGTTTGTCAACTGAGGAGCAAATGGTATGGAACTTGCTTTCAGGGACTCCACAGACAGCAAACATCCCATCCAAAATCCTCCGATCACTGACCTATGAATTCAATGGAGGTAACACAAATGCCTTATCAATGACCTTTTCCTCCTAACAATGGCAGTTATAATAGGGGCAAAAAGGAAATTTCACAGTAGCTATAGAAAGACATAGATATATAAATTTAGACATAGGTGATAGCTGCCTCTATAAATAGACATAGCTGTAAAAGAAAGTCCTAGAGCTGCAGGCTTAAAGGCTGGGGTCAATTATGTTTTGGGAAAGCATCACACCAAATGCAGACTTCTCTCAGTTCATAGCCATGGACTCACCTTGATGAGAAAGTCCCCTAGTTGCAGCTCACTCAGGATTTCACATATGATCTTCAAACACTCAGCATCAGGGATCATAGGGTCAAACTTGCCAGCAATGTCAAAATCCTACAGCAAAAAAAAAAAAAAAAAAAAAAAAAGACAGGGGAAAAAAATTTCCACTGAGCATGCAGTTCCCATATTACAACCCCCAAAACTATCCAATCATGCTGCCTCCATCAGGTCACTTACACACTGGCAGAACTCCCTGAAGCGACCCTGCACCACAGTTGGGCTCTCTCGACGCCACACTTTCCCAACATGGTAGCGTTTCATCTTCTTCACTTTATTCATGGCCAGATAACGAGCAAAAGGGACCTCACAAAAATAGATTAAGGAAGAACACTGCATCCAAAGCCTAGACCCAGCATACAAGCACTAGGATGAACCGGGTCTCTATCAATTTCAACTGGATCTCATCCACTAGGTTAAGGAACTTCTGTCTGGTTTCCCACTACCTCCAAGGCCTAGCCATGCTTGATTTTCAATATACATTAAACCGGGTGAACTGAAGGAATCCCACATCACAAAACTGCAAGTTTAGTAGAAAGCAGAAGCAGCACATAGAAATGACCTATTTACTTCAAGTCTGGGCCGCTCACACCCATTAAGATCAATTCTCAACCATCTCAAAACAGTTAAGTTTCATATTTGGAGTTGCCTACAACTTCTAATCAATGTTTCTCTTTTTTTTTTTTGAAGATTTATTTATTTATGCATACAAGAACTGTATAGGGGTGAGAGGATTCACCCAGAGACAGAGTGGGTTACAGAACAGCGAGAACAGGTGGATCTACTGAAATACACTGCTGAGGGGAACAGTGGGGAGACAGGAGAGGTCTGCTGCACCATGTGGGTAGCTCCATGGCTGGCCGGGGATCGAACTCGTGCTGCTGAGGCTGCGGATAGCTTCACAGTGCTGTGCTTAACCCTTGCGCCACCATGGAGGCCCTCTTTCTTAAAATATAAGTCAAGATCACCTGCATCTTAATTACCTATGTGCCTATTAAAAATGCAGACTGCTAAAAGCCACTCAAGATATAGAACTAAGATTATCTGGGTCAGGGGTCTCCCTGGTGGCACAAGGGGTTATGCACTGCACTATGAAGCAGGGAGTCCACAGCCTCCGCAGCACAAGTTCAATCCCTGGCGGGCCGGGGAGCAGCCAACTATGGCACAGAAGAACGCTCCTGACTCGCCCGCTGCTCCCCTCAGCAGTGTACTTTGGTCGATCTGCCTATTCTGTTCCCCACTATGTCTCTGGTAGATCCTCTCACCCCCCTCACCCCCACCCTGCATCTCTGGCCTGTACCCCAGTTCTTATATGCATAAATAAATAAATCTTAAACAAAAACAAAAACAAAAAAGACTATCTGGGTCAGAGGGCCAGAAATCTGTTTCTGCAAGCTTCCCCAAGGGAGTCTGAAATGCATTGAAGTTAAATACAGTCCTCCAGGCCAGGCACTGCTGTTAGAATTGACTTCTGAGAGAAACTAGAAGTAAAGGTTGCTGCCAGCCAGCCGACCCATAGGGTCCCAGAGTCATATTCATCCCTTTTGGAAAGAGATAAATCTGGCTCTGGCACTTAGAAGGATACAGTGAGGTCATAGCGCAGGGACAACAGCTCTCCACCCTGATCCTTCAGATCATAGATGAGCCCAGAGTCCTCTCCATATTTTTCAGTGAGTATTTCCTGCCAGAGTCAAACAGAAACCACCACAGTTCAATGGATGGATCCAGAACACAGGCTAGAAGTCCTCTGGGAAATTGAAGGTAGGTGTAGAATTGGGGCTGCAGCACTCTTTTTTCTCCTCTTACCTTCAGCTCAAATGCTGGGGTATCCAACCCCTTTGCTCCATGACGTTTAAAGCAGCTGACAACCATATCAAGAATTTTCTCCCTCACAACCATCTGCTGGGGACTAAGATCTCTGGTGCCCTAGAAACCAAATGCAGCTACATGAAAACAAAGACAAAAATCAATTCACATAAGATAAAGAATTAAAACTACATCAATAAAATCTCAAGTTGAACTCTCTTTGAGTTCAGATGATTCTGGCTCACATACAGCTGTGTGTGTTTTTAAAATTAGTCTTAAAGGATATGAAAAGGGTTTAGGAAGAGACGAGCAGAGTAACGGGCAGTTTTCAAGGCACTCAAATGAGTCTGGGTAGGGCAAAGGGCATTACCTTTGGGGTCTTGATAACAAAATTTGATTTCTCTTGCTGTGGTTTCAGTTGGGATGTTAACTCTGCCTCTGCAACCTGCCAGAGAAAGGAACATTAAGATGTGGATGCTCTCAAGTGACCAGGTCTGTGACATCGCTGGCCCTGTCGACCACCAACCCACAAAAACCTTTGACCCTGAGCAATAGAAGCCCAAACACTATTTCATCTACCCCAACCTCATTCCTTCTCCAAATCCCCAATGTGTTGTATCTAAAATACACAAGCAATATATGTGAGGTCAGGTTTGTTTGTTTTTCATTTTTATTTATTTATTTTTACATTGCTGTTCATTTTTATACAATGTTTGATTTCTCCTCTCAGGTGTTGTGCCCGTAAAATTACCACCACCAAGACACCCGTGAACCATCACTATAGACTCTTGTGTTCTTTCCTTCCACTTTAATGTCTTTCCCTCCCCTCCCCTGATAATGCCTCCAATTTATAGTTTGCCTGCTAGTTTTGTCCTTTTTTTTGTTTTGTTTTTTTTTCCTGATCCTTTGTATGGCTTCCCTATGTGCCTCCTATAAGTGAATGAGGCCAGGTTTTGGATCATACAAGCTTCCTCACTATATCTGGAACTTTTTAAAGTCTGAAAAAGTTTAAGCACCTGAGAACAATGAGGGTACAGAACAGCTCACTACTCCCACCACAACCCTCTAGGGATAGGGACTAGTATGATTTTCTTCATTTCTCAGTTGCTCAAAGAGAAAATAAGAATTTCTCTTTTTGCCATATTTAAATAGTTTTATTTAACACATTGCATTTTTCCACTTACAACAGAAATGCTTATAAAGTAGCAGTGTTACTTTGCTTCCTCTCCCTGTGTGCGTGGTTTCATATTCAAATATCAAGAATGCCCAGTTATTACTATCACAGCTCAACTTCTAACTGCCATGAAATTTACTACAAATTTGGGTCCTTCAATGTTTTGGGTGGAGCAATGTTAAAGAGAACTATAGAATTTCTTTTCTTTTTTTTTTTTTAAGGATTTATTTATTTATTTATACAAGCACTGGATACATTCAGAAACACGGGAGAGTGAGAGAATTCACCAGAGCCAGAGCGGGGAACAGAACAGGCAGACTGATGAAATACACTGCTTAGGGGAGCAGCAGGAACGGCAGGAAAGGTCTGCGTGCCATGTGGGGCCCTCCCTGGCAGTCGGGGATCGAACCAGCGCTGCAGAGGCTGCGGGCAGCTTCGTTCGCAGCCCAGCACTCAACCACTGCACCATCAGGGGAGGCCTTAGAACTAAAGAATTTCTAACCTCAGGCTTGGAGCTAGGGAAGATAGAGCTTGAAGACAAAAAAGAACAAGCCCAAGGATACAGAACGTGCCTGAAGAATGCACAGAAATGGATTTCCTGATTTAACACAATGGCCCAGACTGGCAGGACACTGTGACAGAAAATAACAAAAGATGTCAGCTCTATCTTTGATGAACACACAAATCACCTGCTAAAAAGACAACAGGTTTGGATGTTAATAATAATAAATAGACAAAAGACAGTGGGGTCTTTCACAAAGTAAAACAGAATCAGTTGTTTATTACCAACAGTGTTTATTGCCAAATGCTCTTCCAGAAACATAAAAAGTGTGATTGCTTCATATTTTGGCAGACTCTCTCCCCTTAAAGGATGGCAATTCAGGTCTACAAACCCTTCACTGCAAATCCAAAATCCGAAAAAATGTCTTAAAGTTAAAACAACAACAAGAAAAAAACTGAGTTTAACTCACTTTGAGGTGAATTCTAAAGTGAACTCAGTTTACTTATGGTTTTCAGTCATCTCATTTGTGGGAATATTCATACATTTTGTATAAGAAAAGTTACTGTTTGACCCTAAGAGGATCAGGCTAGGAACTGTGGACCCATATTAAAATGTTCCTTATGATGTACCCGTAGATAAGTCACTTAACCTTGCAGTCTGTGGACTTTCTAGGTACCCCTTGGGGCCTCTCTGCACCCCTGTGTGTGAAGGATTTGGAAAAGGCACTCGGAATGACTGCCTTAAGACAATGACCCACATCAGAGGCAGCCCGGGGTGCCTAGATAGCCGTTGACTGATTGTGTGGCTACAAGCTGAGGTGGCCTGGAAGTAGCTAAGAAATTACATCAAATACCTGCACAGGAGGTCCTCCTCCCTGTCTATGTTCCCTCCTGCTCCCCATAAAAATTGATTACCCTTTGTCTCCCCTGGACCCTGCTCCTCCTACTATTGTCACATAATCATTCATGCTTGTTTATTACTGCTAATAAAGAGCAAGAAGGCTGCTCGCTGAGCAGCATAATCTTGTCTTGCAAACCTGCTCCAAGGCTCGTCCCTCAGCATGTTCCGGGGGACGCGCTGACTCAACAGCAGTCTCCGTTTCCCCAGCTGTACAATGGAAATAACAACCCCAACCTCTCAGGACTGCTCTGAGGGTAAAATAGCAAAGCAGCTAAAACGTTTAGCGTAGAGCCGGTGCACGGGGGATACTTAATGAAGACTGAATGGAATACTACTGGAGTAGAAGCTGAGAGTCCAATCTTTCAGCCCAGGAGATCCCACCGGGACAGGCCGGAGCGGCCTCAGTCTGGCTCACCTGGCTATGAGAACGCACAGCCCGGATGCAAACGGCGCGTGGCGGCCTTGGAAACTGGCCGAGCAGCACGGTCCAGACCCTCCCGCGCAGGAGCCCGAGCTGGGGCATCGTGCGGCAGGACGCCGGCTTTGCGGGGCAGGCGGCAAAGGACACAGGGAACCGGGCAGATCGGAACCCCGAAAGGGTGCAGGGCGCTGCAGAGGTGAAGCGCCAGCGCCAGGGAAGAGGTGAGTGCTTTTGCACCTCAGAAAACCCCGAGTCTAGCTCCAGCCCTCACAGATTGGCTGCCTGTCAGCTCCGGCACTTCCAGGAGGAGCCGGAAGTGGTTGCTGCGCCGGCGGAAACTCTCTAGGCGTGCAGGCCAGCAACTCGATAGCCGGAAGTCCTCCGCGAAAGGCTGCGGCAGCTTCAACGTCTGTGGACAGCCATCGGCTCCAGCTGGCAGCCAGTATGGGAGAGCGTGCGGCGCTGGAGGAGCTGGTGCGACTTCAAGGAGAGCTCGTGCGGAGCCTCAAGCAGCAGAAGGCCGGCGCCGAGCAGGTACGATCCAGCAAGGGAGGGGCCACACAAGGCCAGGGAGGATACATAGCTAAGGTGGCCTGCACAAAGGACAGGGATGTGGGAGAAGGGACCGAGCTACGGGGGTGGGGGGCGGGTGAAGGACGGGCTCGGTGGGAGGTATCTAGGATGGGACCGGAGAGAAGCCAAGGTAGGCTTCGGGAGAGAGATCTGCCCCAGATAGTGGATGAGGGAGGGAACGGAATGAATGGCAGAGGAGAGGGTGGAGTAGCAGATGTGATAGCCCAGCGTCTGCTTTCCCTACCAGGTCGAAGAGGAGGTGGCAAAACTACTGAAACTGAAGGCACAGCTGGGTCCTGATGAAGGGAAACAGAAGTTCGTGCTCAAAACCCCCAAGGTAAATACTCCTTTAGGGAGCCTTTGAGATGATCCCTAATTCCACCCATAAGGCGCACATGCCTGCTTCCCTGAAACAGAGCATTGAGGAGAATCTGAAATACTGCAGAGAACTAACAGTTGCTCTGGCTGAAATGAATTCTACCTGAGTCATTCTGGGATAGCAAAGTGATTGGCAGAAACTAGGCCAGCTTGGTGCTTTAAAAAATCAGCCTGCTGCTGCTACTCCTTCTTTCACTCAATAAATATGAATTGAGTGCTTACTGTGCGCTTAGCACTGTACCAAGTGGTGAGTATACTAAGGTGACTAATATAGGCTGCCCTCATGAAGCTTATATTCGACCGAAGAAAACAGACTTAGGACAAATAATCCCATGCATGAATTGCGATAAGTGATATAAGGAAATAACAAGGATACTCTGAGAAAAATAAGGGACAACTGGGAAGTGTGGTATACTAGTTGACCTAAAAGGTGAGTGGACGTTAACCAGGAGAAGAATGTGAGAAAGATAGGACCAGGTAGAGAATGGAAACGCAGAAGCAGGAATGAATCTTGGTAGTTTTCAGGACACTTGTATGATTAGACCCAAATAGAGAAGGAGAGTAGAGTAGAATTAACTTAGAGGTCCAAATTCAGCCTCCAGGATTTCAGGATTCCACTTTCTGTAAGTTCTGTAAACATTCATTGGGCTCTTTAGCACTTCATATTTACCTGTTATTGCACTTACTATTTATGTAGTTTATTTAAAACCTGAGAGGATGAGACTAGTTGCATGGAACCAAATATGTATTTAATAAATGTATGGGAAATTGAATTCCAAAAGAAGAGGGGAGATGGTCTGTCTTGTGTTGAGATGTCACTCTTTGATCCTCTTCTGGTTTATAAGGGTGCTGATTGGGTTTTCGAGCCATTGGGTGAGAGGGCCCCTCTCAAGCCTCTTTTCAAGACGGACACATTACCCTTCTGACATTAAAAAAGAGAGAGAGAGAAATGTCTTCCTTTAAGGTTAATTCTTTGGGTTTCTAAATTCATTCATCTATTCCTTTCTACACACAAAATCATTTCAGTGTAAATCCTAAGGCAGAGACAGTGTAAAATCCTAAGGCAGTGATCATGAAACTGTTAGGGAAAAAGATTAATAGGTTATTTATGGTAGATTAGGCTGGCCTCACCTAAACCAATGATCATTCTTAACATCATTAAAAAGTAGAATAACCAGACAAGTTTTTCCTGATGTGATGTAATAAGACACAGCACCACCTATGAAATAATCCTGCCAAGAAAAATTGAACCTGAATCTAGTCAGGTCTTCAGGCCTAAATACCAATTTACTGGAAATGTGGGAGATGGAGAAACATGTTAATGACACATTGAATATATTGTTTACCAAATCCATGATGTGAAAAATTCTTTAGGATAAATGACTCAATTTCCATAACACATAAATGACTTTCTTTTTTTTTTTCCAGAAGGAAAGGAAACTAGTGTAGATTAAATAGTAGTGAGACATATCAACCAAACAGAATGCATAGGCTTCATTTAGAATCTGACTCAAACAAGCCAGAGAAAATTAAACATGGTTTAGTCATTTAATAATATTAAAGGGTTGCTTTAGATATTCTCGGTTGTAATAAAGGTATTGGAGTCTTCTGTTTTGTTTTTTTTTAAATCCTTACATGTTAGAGAATCACACTTAAATATTTATAGATGAATAATATGATCTCTCAGATTTACTTTAAAATACTCCAGGAAAAAAAAATGCAGCAGTTGATGGTTGTTGAAGCTGGTAATCATGGTAATGGAGGTCAATTATACTATTCTCTATAATGTGTTTTAAATTTTTTTACAATATAATGTTAAAATCAGATTAAACTGGAGAGTTCATATCTATTTTAGTTCGTTGAAATGCATGTTTATTACAGTGTGACTCATGTTAGTATCAGAAAATCTAATTTCATGGGCACAGTACTCTTTCAAGGGGTCTTCATGTTCAAAATTGCTTTCATAATAGCACTAAAACATTATTTGTCTTTTTCACTTTATTTGCATTGAAGGTGCAAAACGCTAATGACTAGGAAAAAATCCTCCGAGAATAGAGTTCTAAGAATCTTAGAAAATACAACCAAGCTAAAAAGGGAATGGAATTTAGAAGGGTGATAGCAACTGGGTGTGACGGTTAATAGGAAATTTTTTTTTAACAAGTGATTATCACTTTAGGGCCTCCCCTGGTGGTGCAGCGGTTGCGCATTGGGCTGCGAAGCTGCCCACAGCCTCTGCAGTGCCGGTTAGATCTCCAAGGGTCCCACATGGTGCACAGATCTCCTGCCACGCCCACTGCTCCCCTCAGCAGTGTATTTCATTCTGTTCCCCGCTCTGGCTCTGGTGAATTCTCTCACCCTCCGGCACTTCTGACTGTACCCAGTGCTTGTATAAATAAATCAATCATTCTTAAAAAAAAAAAAAACAACCCAGTGATTATCACTTTATTAAAAATATTTTACATCACTGGGTCTCCCTGGTGGCGCAGGGGGTTAAGATGCAACCTATGAGGCTATTTGCAGCCACTGCAGCACAAGTTTGATCCCCAGCCAGGGAGCTACCCACATGGTGCAGCAGACCTCTCCTGACTCGCCCGCTGTTTCCCCTCAGCAGTGTATTTTGGTCAGTCTGCCTGTTCTGCTCCCCACTCTGTCTCTGGTGAATCCTCTCACCCCCACACCTCTGGCCTGTACCCCAGTTCTTGAATGCATAAATAAATATATCTTTAAAAAAATTACATCATTGAATAGGGAATTTTTTAATCATTGTTTTATAATTAATGACCAAGTTTGGGTCAAGATTTGCATTGTAATCACTGAGGTCATTCTTTTACATTACTAGATCTTATTTTTGGTTTGTTTTTAAATCCCATCCCTGGTTCTTTGACCTGTTTTGCCTCTCAGGGCACACGAGATTATAGTCCCCGGCAGATGGCAGTCCGGGAGAAGGTATTTGATGTCATCATCCGCTGCTTCAAGCGCCATGGTGCAGAAGTCATCGATACCCCTGTGTTTGAACTAAAGGTAAGAGATGGTGAGGAGAAACTGCCTTGTGGGAGAGTGGGTATATGAACAACAAAGAGGGCAACAGAGGTCTCTCTCTGTTGTGAACAAAAACCAGTATTTTCTCTAGTGATAAGGAGGATGGATGGTTCAGAGGGAGAGGCCCTGCTTTTACCTATTTACCTTGCTTGTCACAAGTGGTGTCCAAAGAGAGTCTGGAGAAGCAGAAGTTGTTGAGCTCCTGTCTGCATTGGCTTCTGCAGCACCTGTCTTCAAGGCATACGTATAAAGTATAAATATGCAGCCAGTCTTCTATTGATGGGTCCTGAGATTGTTTCTGGTTCTTTGCTATTAAAAAAATCAGACGGCATCATTCCTGGCTTACACCGCAGCGATTCTTGTTGCATTTATAATAAAACCCAAATTCTTTATCAAGGCTGAGAAGGCTGTATGTGATGTGACCACTGCCTGCTTCTCCCAGCTCATCTCATGCCATTCTTCCACTCACACTGTGCTATTCTGGTCGCCTTTCTTATTTGTGCAAGCTCCTAAAAATGGTTCCATCTCAGGGCTTTTGTTCTTGCTCTTCCCTCTTCCTGAACTTCCTGTGCCCCTGTCTCTTTGCATCACTTTAATTTCGGATTAAAGACTGCCGATTTTAATTTTAGATCTCAGCTAAAATGCCATTCCTCAAATAATCCTCTCCAACTACCTTGTCTAATACAGTCACTTTTGGAGGCTACTGGGAGATAGGCCTTCAATATATGAATTTTGAGGGGGGGGGGATACAATTCAGCCTATAATACCAACCACTGCTTGAGTGTTTGATTCAACATACTGTAAGTTTTCAGACATTTTACACTTTGCTAAGCTGGTAGGTGAAATATGTTATCACCTTGCTATGAACATTACAGAGCAAGGATTACTGTGTTGTCTTGTGCATTTGACATTAACTCTCAGGCATCATAAAAACATATGTTAGTTGATTTAATAACTCATTCCTAGAAGTTTATTGTGAGAAAGAATGTGTACCCAAATATATTTACTGAAATGTTAAATGGAATGTGTTTTTTCTTTTTCTTAGAACAACCTAACAACATTTGGAATGTCTCCTCACTGGGATATTATGCAACTTTTAAAAATAATACTTCAGCTATCACAAAATGGAAATGTCATAGGCAGAAAACAACATTGGTGTTCCCTTTTGATTAAAACTACACCTAACACATAAGCATTAGGATAGGGAGCAGAGGGATCATGGACAAGCTGAAATCAGTCATGGGTTTTTATTCTCAAAACTTCGTTTTAAACTGTTATATTTACCATTGTGCCCACATTTCTTTGTGTGCTTTTTTTTCCCCCCCACAGGAAACACTGACAGGAAAGTATGGGGAAGACTCTAAGCTGATCTACGACCTGAAGGATCAGGGTGGGGAGCTGCTGTCCCTACGCTATGACCTCACTGTATCTTTCCATACCTGGGCTCTTGGCACGCTGGATGGATTGGCCCTCGCTGGGCTCAGGCTTTTTCTAGACTCAGGTTTTGGGGACAGCCGGACATAAGCAGGATCAAATATGATGCCTTTGCAATCAGGTGAATTATTTCCCTACAGGAGCAGGACTTTGGCTAAAGAGAACATCACCTTAGAAGTTTTCAAAGTTCTTAGCTTTTCAAAGTTCTTAGAACCCTTAGCTCTTTTAGGACCCCATTCCCACTCTCTAGCAACCTGCCCTGTCCTCTGGACAGATTTCCCCATAATTGACTGGTTGCCTTTATGTCTCCTTTATGTCCAAATTGTCAGAGAATCATCTGTGTAGAGCTCCCGCATGGCAAGCTTGCTCTTGCTCCGCAGCCTGGCCAGTTTGCCCAGCCCCTGCTCAGCATATCCCAGGGCAGACGCTACCAAAGGGCAAGGAGCCTTAATCTTTTTGAGCTGCCCCCTGTGATGACCGAGTTGATTCTGTCTGATATTCAGAAATGCAGTTCATCTTCATGGGTGATGGTTTTACCAGAACAGGAAGGGGTTGGACTTCAGCTTCTGGTATTAAAGATAATCCACTCCAGACTGATAGGAGGGGCTTTCTCCTTAACTCTGTGTCATCAGGTTCCTTTTGCTCGATATTTGGCCATGAATAAACTGACCAACATTAAACGCTACCACATAGCAAAAGTCTATCGGCGGGATAACCCAGCTATGACCCGAGGCCGCTATCGTGAATTCTACCAATGTGTGAGTATGTATGCGGGACAGACCAGTGACTCGGCCCTCCCTCAGGCCAGGAGAGTCTGTTGAGTATTCATGGTATCCTAAACAAACTGCACACCCCAGATAATGCTAACCCTGAGGTTTCTTTCTTTCTTTCTTTATTTTTTGTGGGAACCTCGCCGGTGGCCGGGGAATGAACTGGCGCTGCAGAGGTGTGGGCAGCCTCGCAGCCCAGCGCTCAACCGCTGCGCCACCAAGGGAGGCCCAGTTTTCTTTTTTTTTTAAAGATTTATTTATTTATGCATACAAGAGCCGGGGTATTGGGGGTGGGGGGGGGGAGGATATGCAGTAGGTGAGAGGATCCACCAGAGACAGAGAGGGGAACAGAACAGGCAGACTAACTGAAACACACTGCTGAGGGTGTTAGGGGGAGAGGATGTCCTAAGCTAATTCCATGCAGGCTTTATGGACTCCACCCCCACTCCAGACCAAAACCATCAGGACATTGGGAAAGACAAATCCCGTCACCACCAAAGGAAAGGTGGCTGGGACCTGAGGGTGGGGTTAAGCAGCCACGTTTGGTATAAAAAAGACACGTGGGCCTTGGGGGGCTCGCTCTCTTGCTGGCCTCCTGGCTTCACGGCTCCTGGCTTGCGGCCAGCTCTCAGAGTGCCATTTGGGATTCCTGATTGGCGGATCGGGTAGGACGCATTTATAACTGTGTCTCCCACTTTTCTCCCTGAACTGTACATTTCCTCATTTCCCCTTCCCTTGTAAATTAACCTTTTATTAACCTTTCACGTGTGCCTTCAGTAGAGTATTGATAAGTCCTTTTAAGTGTGCGGGTGAGGACCCACAGTCAGGCACCCCGTTTTGTATTGGGACTGCCCTGTAACAAAGGGAGCAGTGGGCTATACAGGAGAGGTCTGCTGCGCCATGTGGGTTGCTCCCTGGAGCCAGGGATCGAACTCCTGCTGCAGAGGCTGCAGATTGCTCCATAGTGAGGTGCTTAATCCCTTGTGCCACCAGGGAGGCCCACCCTGAGGTTTCTTAAGTATTTTCATGCAGATTTTACAAAGCCCTATGGGGAGGGGAGGGGAGGATTAACACAGCAGTAGGAGGAAATAAGGAAAAGTAGATGAGGGAGATCAGGAATAGCCCAGTTGATAGAAAGGAAACCAGGACTGGTGAGAGACCCAACAATACCAGGATTCATCTCTAGGCTGATGATCAGTGGAGAAAGAAGGGAGGTCTGTGCATGAGAAAAACAGACCTTCCCTTCATGGGGGAAGCAGAGATTTTAAGAAGGTTAAATCCAGGAGGGCCTCTGGCTGCCCCGCCCCTTGCAGGACTTTGACATCGCTGGGCAGTTCGACCCCATGATCCCCGACGCAGAGTGCCTGAAGATCATGTGTGAGATCCTGAGTTCACTTCAGATCGGTGACTTCTTGGTCAAGGTTAGAGCTACTGGGGCCGGGAGGATAAAGTTGGGCCTGGTCTCCACGGGAGAAAGTCCTAGTGCAGAGGGACCAGTAGCCCAAGTGGCCGAGGCTACGGAGGGTCAGGTAGCGCAGTTCCCCGCTCACTGAGCCTTGGGCCTCCACAGGTGAATGACCGGCGCATCCTAGATGGCATGTTTGCCGTGTGTGGGGTTCCCGATAGCAAGTTCCGTACCATCTGCTCTTCGGTGGACAAGCTGGACAAGGTAATGACCCAAACTCATGACTCTTCCCAGACCCCCAGCCTGTTCTGAGAAGGGGCCTGCCTCTGTGTCCACCAGAGAAAGATTAACCAGGATTTAGGTTGCAGGGAAGCTTTGACTCCACAACTGCTCCCTACCCCCACCTCCCAGGGAGGGCCCACACTTGCTCTGCAGTGGGAAGCTGCCAGGGGTCCCTGACTGGTGTCTGTCTGCCAGGTATCATGGGAGGAAGTAAAGAATGAGATGGTGGGAGAGAAGGGCCTCGCACCCGACGTAGCCGACCGCATCGGGGACTATGTCCAGCAGCACGGTAAGGAACAAACCCTGCCTCTGCAGCAGCCCTCAAGCGTGAAGCTAAAACTCTTCTCTGTGTGTGCATCACATGTAGGAGAAAGGGAGAGGAAGGGGGTGTGTGTGTGTGCATACGTGTGCAGTCCAGGCAAAAGGTAGAGCCTCCCTACAAAGTTCTTCTGGTCAGTCAGTCTGGCTCACAGATCTGTCTCCTCAGGTGGGGTCTCCCTGGTGGAACAGTTGCTCCAGGATCCTAAACTCTCCCAAAACAAGCAGGCCTTGGAGGGCCTGGGGGACCTGAAGCTGCTGTTTGAGTACCTGACCCTATTTGGCATCGCAGACAAGGTGAGTTGGGTTAGAGATGGGAAACGCAGTGAGCTTTGCTGCCTCAGTGCCTTAATCCTCAGCTGGTACTGACCGTGTCCTTGTACCCACAGATCTCCTTTGACCTGAGCCTTGCTCGGGGGCTGGACTACTATACTGGGGTGATCTATGAAGCGGTTCTGCTACAGACCCCTGCCCAGGCAGGAGAAGAATCCTTGGGTGTGGGCAGTGTGGCCGCTGGAGGACGCTATGATGGACTGGTGGGCATGTTTGATCCCAAAGGGCGCAAAGTGCCCTGCGTGGGACTCAGCATTGGGGTGGAGCGGATCTTCTCCATCGTGGAGCAGAGGCTGGAGGTAGGTCCTAGGGAGTGGGTAGCAAACAAATTGGGTAGGTGGTGGCACCTGAGTGATGTTTGATCTCCAGGGAGGCAAGTGGTCCAGCTTTGGGCAAAGGCTATCTTAACAAAGAAATAGGAGAAAAGATGACTCCCACCTCCATTATCAGCCAGCTTTATGGATCTTTGATCATCCTTTTTGCACAAAATCCTCTCAATCCCTACTTCCCGCAGGGCTGTCAGGAGTCTAGGCTGGTATCTCTGAGGACCCAGATCATCCTCATGATACACAATATTTTACTGCTCTGTGCCAGGCACTGTGCTTAGTGCTTTTTGTGAATTATCTAATAAAATTCTTGGGCCTCCCCTAGTGGCGCAGGCGGTTGAGCGCAGTGCTGTGAAGCTGTCTGCAGCCTCTGCAGCGCCGGTTCAATTCCCGGCCGGCCAGGGAGATACCCACATGGCGCGGCAGAACTCTCCTGTCTCGCCTGCTGCTCCCCTCAGCAGTGTACTTCGGTCCTTCTGCCTGTTCTGCTCCCTACTCTGTCTCTGGTGAATTGTCTCATCCTCCCACACCTTTGGCCTATTTATTTTTTTTTAAAGATTTATTTATTTATACAAGAACCGGGGTACAGGCCAGAGGTACGGGAGGGTGAGAGGATCCACCAGAGACGGAGCAGGGAACAGAACAGGCAGACTGAAGAAACACACTGCTGAGGGGAGCAGTGGGCAAGACAGGAGAGGTCTGTGCCCTGTGGGTTTCTCCCTGGCCGGCTGGGATTGAACCTGTGCTGCAGAGGCTGCGGACGGCTTCACAGTGTGGTATTCAAATTGCCTGCGCCTCCAGGGAGTCCCTAAATAAATAAATATATTTTTTAAAAAATTCTTGCAGGAATCCTCTGAGAGCAGTTACTTTATATTTTTCAGGCAAGGTGACTGAGGCATTATAGATTAAATAATTTGCCCATGGTCATAAAACTTATAAGTGGCAGAGTCAGAATTGGGATCCAGACAGTCTCACTCCAGAGTCTGCTCCTAAGCACCTTATACAGTGTCTAAGTGGAAAGCATGTGTCTGAGGCCGGGGGGACCTCATATAATGGTCTTGATTGTCCAGCACCTAGAGTAACACCAGGGAAGCCCATCATGGCTCAAGCCCTCCGTTGTTACTGCTGCTTTTGACTGGCCACTTGCTTTTCATCCCCCGGGCTTCTGGTGATACCTTTTCATCCCTGTGGGCTCTGGCGTACCTTCCCACCCCACTGCTTCCATCCTTGCCTCTAAAGTGGATGCCACGCCTGTTTCCCAGCTGAGTCACTATTCCAATAGTGCACGAAAGCTCTTTTCCCAAAAAAGATAATGGGCAATAGCATTCTCCCTCCCTGCCCCCTAGCCACCCCAGCTCCCCTAGATTGTGCCCTGTGGTTGAAGTATAAGAGGCCCAGTCTCTTGACTGGGCACATAGTAAGAGGGAACTAGAACTGCCGGGGTGAAAAGCCTGGGTGGGCTCCCCGTATCACTCTGTGTGAATGTCCTTGTGCATCTTTAAGGTACTGGATGAGATGAGCTGGAAGTTACTATACATAAGCTACCTTTGCCCTCGGACTGTGTTATTTATTCTTGCAAGTCGTATGTTCAGCTCATTTCGTCTGAGCTAACTTTGGTCCAATTGCGAGATGAGGAGATTGCGCCCTGCCCTGGTGGAGATGGCTGAGTCGGGCTGTGTCTCTCAGAATCCTAATAAGAACCTGTACTGTCTGCTCCTTGAAGGTGTTGTAAAAGGTCATCCAGCCCCCTGACTTTAATCTGCCCCTTCCCCAGGCTTTGGAGGAGAAGGTTCGGACCACAGAGACACAGGTGCTTGTGGCATCGGCACAGAAGAAACTGCTGGAGGAGAGACTGAAGCTCGTCACAGAGCTGTGGGATGCCGGGATCAAGGTACGGGGGCAAGCCTCGGGATGGCAGCAAACTTGGACAGACTCTCTCCCTTAGTGACCGTGCCGTCACTATGACTTCTTGGGGTGCAACTCAGAGCAAGGTGCTAGCTGGGTTCCCCAGGAGGCTATCCCTGAAGAGAGTGGGAGCCAGCCTGCATCTTCTGCTCTGGTGCCCTGCAGGCAGAGCTACTGTACAAAAAGAACCCGAAGTTACTAAACCAGCTGCAGTACTGCGAGGAAACGGGCATCCCACTGGTGGCCATCATCGGGGAGCAGGAGCTCAAGGATGGCGTCATCAAGCTTCGTTCAGTGGCAAGCAGAGAAGAGGTAAGGGGGCAGGCAGGAAGGCTGGGGAACAGGCAGTGAGGAAATATATGCCAATGCAGCAGGCCAGTGCCCATACAAGACCTTGGCAAACGCTGGGCCTTCATATTAGTGCCCAGTTGTGAAGACCTATAGACCGAAACTGTTAGCAGTCTGGTAGGGGTAGGATCTCTAGCCCCGCATATTTTCTGGCTCCCCCAAGAAGCACTGTCTCCTTATGGTGTTTGACGGGGTTCCTACTCACAGCTGAGGCACCCCTGATGACTAGAGGTAGGAGCACCCAGGGAGCAGTGGAGAGGAAGCCGTTCATACCTCCTTCTTCTCTCATGCCGGCCAGGTGGACATCCGAAGGGAAGACCTTGTGGAGGAAATCAAAAGGAGAACAAGTCAGCCTCTCTGCATCTGCTGAACTGAGCAAACTGGAAAGTGGGACTGGCACTGTTGGAGACTAAGATAAAACTGCGTATATCTTCAACAGCTTTGCATATTCCTGTTCCAGCAGGAAGACCTGAAGAGTAAACAGAGACTTTTTATTTTTATTATGATTATCTTAATGGTAATTATTGGCAAAAATGGCCAGGCACTGCACTATTTTACGTAGAAGGCCTTGCAGGCTTATTAATACACTCTGTTCTCCCAGGCCACAGGGCCCGGACCTAAGATGGACTCGTCTGCAGGGCCCCCAAAACAAGAAGGAACGTACCCCACAAACAATTGCGGAAGGTCCAATAAAATGCCTCAACCACTGGAGCCTGCCCGTGTTTCTATTGCTGAGCGCCGCCTCCCCGTCAGAGCCCGAACCTCCCATTCGGATCATTTTAGTGTTGGAAACCGGGGTGAAAGACCCCAGGGTGAAGGGTGCCCCTGGGGTTCTCATCGGCGGTCAGCACCGGGTGGGCTAGCGAGTTACCCCGGGCCGCGCTGCGGTCCGCGCACCCCGCGGAGGCGCCAGGCTTTCACCTGCGGATCGAGCTGCCCGCGGCGCACGTGCGGAGGCCGCCTCCACCCCGGGGGGCGGGGTCGTGCTCACGGCCAATGGGCGCTTGGGAGGTGGAGGGGCAGGGAAGTTTCCAGAGGCCGAAGGGGAGGAGGTTATAAAAGGGGGTGCTGGCGGGCCAGCGCGAGAGCCATGCAGTCCAAGCGGGAATGCGAGGTGAGTGCTCCGCGGCGAGGGAGTCCGCGAGCCCCACGGGCGCACGCAGCAGGGGGCTGGTGTGGGCCCCCGCGCCGGAGGCGGGGTGGGGGCGGGCGCGGCCATCCGCCATTCCAGCCTGCCCTTTCCCCTTCAGCTGTGGTGTGAGAGGGTGAATCCAGAGAACAAGGCGGCGTTGGAGGCGTGGGTCAGGGAGACGGGCATCCGCCTGGTGCAGGTGAACGGGCAGAGGAAGTACGGCGGGCCGCCCCCAGGTACGGTCGTCCCAGCCTCTACCGCCCGACCAGCCCCCCTTGGGGGAGGGGCCACCCCGGGACCATCACCAGCACCCCCAAGCGCCCGTTACACGAACCCAGGCAATTGAGGGCCCCCAGCCCCCTTACGCGCACCCCTCGCCCCCAGGAAGGGCCCGGTCTGGAAGCTGCTCCGCGGGCGGGCCCCGTTAGCTGGTCACCCAGTTTTGCCGACGCGGGGCACGGGTGTTGTACCCATTTCACAGACGCCCGCCCTGGTCTCGGGCCCCGAACCCGAGCCGTCCCAGGGTCTGACGGCGGCCCTCCCGCCCCTCTCCCCGCAGGCTGGGTGGGCAGCCCGCCGCCGGCCGGGTCGGAGGTGTTCATCGGGCGGCTGCCCCAGGACGTGTACGAGCACCAGCTGATCCCGCTGTTCCAGCGCGTGGGCCGCCTCTACGAGTTCCGCCTGATGATGACCTTCAGCGGCCTGAACCGCGGCTTCGCCTACGCCCGCTACAGCTCGCGGCGCGGCGCTCAGGCCGCCATCGCCACGCTGCACAACCACCCGCTGCGCCCCGCCTGCCCGCTGCTGGTGTGCCGCAGCACGGAGAAGTGCGAGCTGAGCGTGGACCGCCTGCCGCTGGGGCTGAGCCGCCGCGCGCTGCTGCTCGCTTTGCAGCCGCTGGGGCCCGGCCTGCAGGAGGCGTTGCTGCTGCCCAGCCCCGGGCCGGCGCCCGCGCAAATCGCGCTGCTCAAGTTCAGCTCGCACCGCGCCGCCGCCATGGCTAAAAAGGCCCTGGTGGAAGGTAGGGGGGGGGGGGGCGTGGGGTCCCAACGGCGGGGGTCAGACCTCTTCTGCCAGGCACTTTACCGCTGCACAATACAGGGTGAAGTCACAAGATTTTACTGCCAAACAGATTTGAGTTTGCAAACAAACTGTTTATTTGAACTCAGGTTTTTAAATTTCCAGTGCTGCTACCAGGGGTCACTTAGCAACAGTTAACACTTGCCAAGCAGTTAATTCCTGAGTTAATCTTCAGCTTTGCAATGAAATACAGTGAGCTCCTTCTTTAAGGGTGAGGAGGCTGTTTTAAGAGAAACTGACTTGCCCGAGGCAGTCTTAACTGAGCCTACCTTTGATCCACTGTGGAAACTACTTCCTCAGCCGGGTGTGAAAATTATCCAGTACTTAGCATATTACCTGATGCTGGGCAAGTACTCAGTAAAGATTAGCTATTGTGATGCTCATGAGGCAGAAAAGCTTGCAACCAATGCACCTCCAAGCAATCTTGGAAGGTGTTGCACCTCCTTTACAAGTACAGTGAAGCCTGGCAAGGTTAACTTGCCTGAGGTCACAGCAAGATAAGGGGAGGCTTAGAAATTAAACACAGGCCTTTGTCTGGGGTCTGGGAGCTTGGGCCTAGGGCTTTGACCAGTCCATCTTTTCCCTGCAGGCCAGTCACGCCTCTGTGGAGAGCAGGTGGCAGTGGAGTGGCTCAAGCCAGACCTGAAGCAGCGACTCCGCCAGCAGTTTGGGGGTCCGTTGCTGCGGCCCCTACAGCCAGAGAGCAGCCGCTTGTCCCTGGCCAGGGACAAGCTAGTGTCCCAAGGGGCTCGGGCTGCCCTGCAGGTGTTGTGCCAGCAGATGAAGCTGGGCATCCCAGTCTTCCTCACCAAGTGTCTGGGCACGGGCCCTGCTGGCTGGCATCACTTCTGGTACCAGGTGGTGATCCCTGGGCACCCGGTGCCCTTCAGTGGCCTCATCTGGGTTGTGCTGGCCCAGGATGGGCAGGATGCACATGAGGTGGCCAAGGATGCTGTGTCTGCACAGCTGCTGGAGGCACTGAGTAAGTCTGGGGCCAGCCTCCTGCAGCCTGCTGTGGCTAAGGCAGGTGTCATGGTCAAGCAGTGACCCCATCCTCTCTACAGGCAGCCTGACCAAAGGGGCATAACCTGGGTCAGTCCCCAGCCCAGCAGGCCTGGGTAACCACTATCTGATCCCAAAAGGGGGAGGGGCATGGGCCCTGCCTTAGGCCTGACAGCCCCATAGCTGGGGCAGGGTCCCAGCACACACCTGGGGACAGCTCAGGTTTGGCTAAGTTGTGGTGAGGGACCTTGCCCTCCTCCCACCCAGGCTTGGGTCTGACCCATGGATATTCCTTGCCCATTCTCTGACACACACACCCTCTCCTCCTCCCACAGTGTAGCATAAAACTTTGCTTATTTTCTTGACTTGTCCTCTTTGCTGTTTTTTATTTGGGGGCTGGCAAAGCCAAAAGGTCAGAAGTCTTACCTTTTGTCCCTACCACTTGGTATTCTAGTTTCGGTTTATGTACAACTTTTGAGTTTTTCTATGCTGGTTGTATTTATATTAAACCCCTGGTTGGTGTACACCTGTGTCAGTGCTGTGGACTTGTATTACAGTGGGAGAGTGAGGGGCTGCTGCAGGGTAAGCATTTCCCCACATAGTGCCCGGAGTCCTGAGCCTCTGTCTGCATGTCGTCTTGGCAACACCTTGGAAGCAAAACTCTTGCCCAGGAAGGATCTATCTTAAGATTCAGATCATCCCCTCAGTCACTATCATCCTCACTCTCCTCTTCCTCCCCAGCTGTGGGGTCCTCTCCTTCCTCCCTCAGTCCTGCAAAGAAGTCATCGGTGCTCCAGGCCTTGCTGCTCAATGCCCGCAGCGGTCCTCCCTTTTTCTTGCGCCGACGGTAGTCATCCACCACCACAGCCCGAAGCTGGGCCATGTCCCAAAACTTAAGACGCTGGTCGTGGCCACTGCTGGCCAGGAATCGGCCGCAGTGGGAGAGGGCTAGCTCCTCCACAGGCTCCCCGGCATGCTGACCCACGCTGCCCACCACTCGGTTCGGCAGGATGTTCACAGCCCTAGACAGAGAGAAAGCCCCGGGTGTGAGCTAGGTGCACCTACCCTTCCCGTGACCCTAAGGGCTATCCCAGCCTCTAACCTGATGACTCCGTCCGTGGAGCCAGTGCACAGCAGACTCTCAGTGACCTGAACCATGCAGTCGATGGACTCTGCTTTCAGGGCAAAGCGGTCACTTGTGGCCCCAAAGCCATTCCAGTTGAAGAGGTAGATAGTACCTTCACTGGAGCCACAGGCCACCTTCTTCCCACACTGCAGGGAAATAGAGCAGAGCGTGTCCATGGAGCCACAGTCAAATGAAGTCCCCCCACCAAATACTCCCCCTCCCTATCACACGTGACCATACTTTCATGATTGTGACAGAGGTCAGGTCCCCAGACTGGGTCTCTGAGAGCAGCTCAAAGCGGCGTCGCTTGATGTTGAAGACCCCAAGGCAGCCATCCCCACTATGGAGAGAGAAAGGTTTGGCCAGAGGACCCAAAGAGGGGAACTGAACACAAAAGAGAAGCGGCGGCTCTGAGACTACCTGGCTGTGAGCAACAGCTTCTTGGCTGGGTCCAGGGCCATGTCAGCAATGTACTCCTCATGCTGTCGCATATCCATCAAGGGGCCTTCCTTCCGCTGGTCCCAGAGCCGGATGCCACCTGTGTCGTCTCCAGTGGCCAAAACATTCTCATCCACCAGCAACAGACAGTTGATGGGGGCGCTAGAGACACAGATACAGAAGTTCTTGCAGCAGCTTTTTCCCAAGTACTGGTGCTTACCTCTCACCCCAATACACAGTTGGCTCCTCTTACCCGTGAGCCTTGGAAATGCGTCTTTCCAGTTGGCCATGCTCCACATCTAGAACATGGATGGCTTTGTCCTTGGAGACAGTAACAAGTTCTGGAGGAAAAAGGACCTGGGTCATGGTGCTGTTTTCCTTCCACCACCATATTGTTGGCCGCCTTCCCTAATACTCACTCTGCCCATCTGCAGAAAAGGCCACAGCTCGGCAGGACTTGAGATGGTGACCCGAGGACCAGAGCTCCTTGGTTTCTCCCTCTTGGCAGGAGTAGGAAAAGCTTGGGGGTGAGGAGAGAGAGTAAATGACCCCAGGACCCACCTGAGATGCATGGAGTGTAGAGATCAAGTAGCCAACCTCCCATCTACCTAGGAACTCCTATTTGTACACCTCCAAATCCAAGGAGCTCACCATCCCTATTTTCCATTTTCAGTGAACTTCAAATGTTAGACCTTACACATTCTATACACAATAATTCAAAGTACATTTGCCCAGGACTTCTTTGCGACTGCACCCCATCCCCCTTATTATCCTTGAAAAACTCAGCCTGGGCAAAGATGAAGTATGGCGCACAGTGGAGGCATAGAAATATTTGCTTAATTAAGACAGCCCCAGAAGTTGTAAACGTAAAGGTCTCTGAGATAGGGTCCTCGCTCTCCAGTTCTGCAGGAGCTAGAGAAAACCATAACGTATTACAGTCCATACTGATCATATGAACGGAGGACGGGGCAAATGGAGATGGAGCAAAGGCACAGATTAAGCTCAGCCTTGAGGCAAGTACCTGTCCACAAAATAGTGCCTCAGAGCAGACCTCAAAAAGGGCTGAATGAGTAAGTGCTCAATTGCCTGAGTTCCAGTGCAGAACTGCTTACTTTTTGTTCTGTCCCAGTGCCTAGCACGAAAAAGTCACTTAATAAACATTCACAATGAATGAAATTAGGGAAGGAGACCCTGGAAAGATAACTACTAAAGTGATGACATGTGAATTCGATCATGAAGAGTAAGTAGTTCACCTTGCAGAGTATAAGGGACAAGTGCTGGAAGCAGAAGCCCATGTCCCTTCCAGGGCAGAGACAGGAATAAGGAGGGTTCTAGTGGCAGGAGGGTGGTAAGGCTAGAGCTGGAAAAATGGGACAGATTGGACTGGGCTTGAGACCATGCAGGCTAAGCATAAGTCTGTATTTAATCCCATGGGAAAAGGAACCTCTTTTTTTTTTTTTTTTTTTTTTTTTTTTTTTAATCCTTTCCAGAACGGTAAGGAGGGAAGTTACCTGCCCACCAGGAGTGAAACCCTTCTACATTTGTTAAATATTTAAGTTGGTGCTATACTGACACTTGACCCTCTGCAAAGTAGATACTAATAATCCCATTTTTATTTTTTCGAAAGATTTATTTATGCATACAAGAACTGGGGTGTAGGCCAGAGGTGCGGGGGTGAAAGGATTCACCAGAGACAGAATGGGGAGCAGAACAGGGGAATCCACTGAAATACTCTGAGGGGAGCAGCAGGCAAGACAGGAGAGGTCTGCTGCGCCATGTGGGTTAGCTCCCTGGCTGGGGATCAAACTCATGCCGACAGTGCTGTGACTTAACCCCTTGTGCCACTAGGGAGCCCCTAATCCATTATTAGAGATGAAAATACAAACATTACCTTGTCCAAGGTCACGGCAACTAACGAGGGGATTGAGGCTTAAATTCATTAAATCTGACAGCACAACTCTCCTGATTAATATCTTCAATGGCTTTTCTCTGCTTCCATTACATCTTATTTTCAAAATCAAACATGTACTTAGGCACCTACCCTGGGCTAGAACAGGAGTTGCAATGGAGAACAAAACAGACTACAGATTTACACTCCAGTGTTTTCCAAACTCCAGTCATGACCCATTAGTGAGCTGCAATCAGAATTTTATGTGTGCCTGCAATAACAACAGAATCAAGTAAACCAGAAAAACATCGGAGTACATCACACATAATGGAAAAGGTATTCTTACTGGAGGGTGAGGTTTAAAAGTTTGAAAAGTACTTCTTTGGTGGAGAAGATGAGCAGTCAAAATAATCGCATAAATGCACACATGGTTACAAACCACTTAAATTTATGAGGGAAAGATACCTGGTGCCATGACAGCACCTCACAGGTAATCTGAGTCTGGGGCATGGCGCAGGTTGAGTCTTGCGAAATTTGTTTCCCAGCAACTTTCTCTCCTCTCTCCTGTCCAGCTCCCTCCCTGCGGAGCTCCCTGACCCGACAGTCCCCGCTCCCCACGTCCGCACCCTGGCAGGCACTTACACGTACACGTCCCCATCCACATCCCCTGCCGCCAAGAGATCGCGGGTCGGATGAAACGCCAACCCACTGGCCGGCGCTTCCAGCACGATGTCTTCCGGGGTGTCTCGGATCCTGGCCGGGGCTTCTGCCGCATCAGGGTCCTCCTCGTCGCTCCCATCCTCCGGGGGCAGTTCCTCACACGTGCGATCCATGCACAGGCGGACTCGAGCCGCGCAGGAGCTGGGAGGTGAGCGCAGGCGCGAGGCACGCGGGGTCTCAGGAGGCCTCCTCCGCGTCGGGGGCGGGGCAGGAAGTGACGCCAGGGCGTGCTCAGGAACCCGGAAAAGGCGGGCCGGCCAGTGTGGTGTAGGTAGCGCGGATCCTAGGGCTCCCCGCCCCCAAAGCCTTTACATCCCGGTGTTGTCTAGGCTGGTAGCTGAACCGGCTAGACTGCGCGACCGTCATTCCCCTCCGAGGTCATTTTATATAAAGTTGAAAGCTGCATTTAAGTCCTTTCCTCTCATCCTAATCGATGCTGAAAATTTGGTACTCCCTCCCGCAACCAGTAGTGCCCTCGGAATAGGAGAGAGGGATGACAGACAATCGTTCATAACCTGGTGATACCCAACACCACAAGCATGACATGGTTGGTCGGGAAACAGAAACACGCAGCATGAATTTGACATGCAGGTGCTGTGGACAGCAGGCAGCCTTGCGTACAGGCTTACGCAGCTGATGTTCACTTTCACCATCTTGGTGGCCAGAAAGGTACAGCATCGGGCCTCTTACTAGTCCGGCTCCAGACCCTTGATGGACCTGGCCAATAGTAATGAGGACTGGCAATCGGTGACATTCTGGAATCCTGTCAACAAAAATTCCACAAAAATGAGAGCACTCTGCATGATGGGGCAGAGAGGAGCAAGAGCTCCTGTGGCTGAACCTCTCACATCCCTGTAGTACTCACCCAGAGAGGCATTAAGTCTCCCTAGACAAAAATTGCCGTGTGATGTTGGGAGTCTCACTATGTGACCAACCAGAGGGACTTCCACAAGACTTGGTGGTACTTGCAGAAACTGACTTTAAACAAAGACCCCAGGAGGTCTTGATGGTGGCAACCTTCTGGGTATCTTCAGCTGAGCCAGGTTCTGGGATTTCTCCTAAATGTGACCATGGCCCACAACCATGAAACCAGAATGTTGCTTACTGGTTGATGCGAGTAAGGCCCAATTTCAACCAATTAGGTGCCACACACAAAGCTGGCTTCCTCAAAAAGCCCAAGGAAAGCTAGAAAGCCTTATCCATTGCCTTGCCTTTGCCACTTTGACCTTGCTCGGGAAAGCTCACAGGTCTTACTCAGTGCAGGCAATGGCAGCGAGGAATGCTACCAGAGAAAAGTGATGACCTTTATTGCTTAAGTACCATCTAAAGTGCTATTATTAACAAGAGGAGAAAAAGGGTGAGAAAGAATTTTTCAAATGCCAAGGAGCCCACTCTTGGGCCTTGATAAATTCCTCAGGGTGTTGAACGGCACCAAACCCTCTGGCCTGAGACAGGGATTTCCCCAAGGCACTTCCTCAAAGTTATCTGTTTAGCCAAGGAAATTTGTGCTTGCAAGCTGTCATTTGTGTTTGGAATTACTAAAGCTCCCAGGATGGCATAAATTCATAAAAGGTTTGTTTCCACAAGTAATTTTCATTAGGTACCTCCTGAAGAGCCTAGTCCTACACAACTGTGGAGTCAACTGATAGCCCACTGTGCTGACCCTAAACCCCAGGGAATCTCTGCCTTAAGACCACACCCTCAGATGGGCCTGAAATGAGTCTAACATTTGAGATCAATCATCCTTAACATTCCTCAGTCCACCTCTTGCCCATCAGTGAAGGGCAATCTCCCTATCTCCACTGGCCACTCTGGTTATTAAACATCCTTACTACCTAGGAATCTAGAACCACAGCAGGAAAGGACTGAGCTGATTTTCTGTATATGATTCTACAGTCAGTGGAATTAGTAGCCCTCTTGGTGCTCCAGCAGCCCTGATGGGGGATGCTCAACACAAAGACAGCAGCAGTTTACCAATTTTAATGGAACCAAATGATTATACAATAAAAGTTTACATATATTCACAAAAAACACCATACAACTTTTCTGGGAATTGTAGGAAGAAAGCAGTAGAAAGCATATCCTGTGGAGAATGTTCTTGGAGTTGACACTGGAGATTAGTATTTTGGTCTTTTGACCTCAACTCTATAATGAAGAGAGAAATAAGTTAGAAGATCAATATACAGGCAGCTCTCCTGCCCACCTATGTCTATGTAGGGGCCTTTTTCTTTCCCCTTTTCCTAATAAACCTGTCCTTTTGAAAAGTTAAGAAAAACAAAGAAAAAGACTGATATACTAAGCAATTCTCAATAGTTCCACAGAGGAATAATAAAAGGCTCACCCATCAGCTTCCATCTTCTTCCTCTTCTCAATGATCTGCAAAAAGAACCATTATAGTTGATAGTGATGCCACCTCTGTAAGCTCACCTGAGGCCCAAGGCTGCCTTCTCTCCTTTTTCCACAGCTCTCCAACCGCCAGCTGTTCCCTCTATGAGCCAGCACTTTCTCCTAGCTGAAGCCCTCCCAACCTGAGAGGCAGTCCCACTTACTGCACTAATCTTCTTCCACTGACGATCAAGTTCTGCCTTGTCATTGGTTTCCTTGAAGCGCCTCGTTTTACGCCCTTCAGACATCTTGATACCGTACTGGAAAGCAGCTCTGAGAAACAAGGGTAGTTGGGAGAAGCAGGCATCAGAGGGCGACAGCACTAGTAATCTGTTCCCAGAAACTCGATTTGGGAATGTCTAGCCTATAGCCTTTCTTCACCCCCTGGACATATTTAGTACCAACTCACTTGGGCAAGGCCTCCTTGTTGTTCATATATTCACTGTATTCCTCCTGAGTATCAAAGTCCCAGCGGCCTAAGGGGCCCTTCTTGTTACCCTGTTGCAGGAGAAAATGGGGGAGGAAAATGTAATTTTGGCCCATGATTCACCCTTGATTAAAGTCAAACTTTCCCACAATTCCCAAAGGTTTCACCATTCATAAGTCCTACCTTAACAAATAATAGTAAGTGCTTGTGTACTCATTACCTGTCAGGCATTATTCTGAATACAAAACACACATCCTATCTAACTCTTAAAAACTATTATTAAGAAGGAACTATATTTCTCTTCATTTTCCTGAGAAAAGTGAAACATAAGGAGTAAAATAAAACAAGGTGACCAAAATTATCAATGGCAGAACCAAAGTTAAACAATGTTCCAAGATGGGCCTCCCTGGTGGAGTGTGGTTGAGCGCTGGGTTGCAAAGCTGCCCACAGCCTCTGCAGGGCTGGTTCAATCCCCGGCCACTGGCGAGGGTCCCACATGGCGCGCAGACCTCTCCAGCTGCCCGCTGCTCCCCTCAGCAGTGTGCTTCATCAGTCTGCCTGCTCTGCTCCACGCTATGGCTCTGGTGAATTCTCTTACCCTCCCGTGCTTCTGACTGTACCCAGTGCTTGTATAAATAATAAATCTTCAAAACAAAACAAAAAAACAATGTTCCAAGATGGAATTAAACCATGCTCTTGGGCCTCCCCGGTGGCTCAGCGGATTGAGCGCAGAACTATGAAGCTGTCCGCAGCCTCTGCAGCGCAGGTTCGATTCCTGGCCAGCCAGGGAGATTCCCACATGGTGTAGCAGACCTCTCCTGTCTCGCCTGCTGCTCCCCTCAGTAGTGTATTTCGGTCCATCTGCCTGTTCTGCTCCCCGCTCTGTCTCTGGTGAATCCTCTCACCCTCCTGTGCTTCTGGCCTGTACCCCAGTGCTTGTATAAAGAAAGAAATCTTTAAAAAACAAAAAAAACAAAAACAACCAACCATGCTCTTAATCATCGCAATGCACTGAGAACAAAGAAAAAAGGAGAGAAAATTTCCTCATCATTAGTAGTGGTAGTGTTTGCTAGAGTTTGCTGTTGTTCTTATTTAGCGGAAAATTTCAATCTTGGCTAGAATAAAAATCAGTTATTTTCTAAATGTTGCAATTCCTTCTGTCCTTTCACTAAAGGCTTGCTTCCTGCTAAGATAGAGATCAAAGCCTAGCACTATGTAGAATATGAAAAGAAATATGTTTCTGGTCCTATCTCATTTGATTTTGTGCAGAGCCTTTGAAAACAGTTAAGCTGCCCATGAGCCCATAATGCTGCTGTTCTCATTGCTGCAGCTCAGAGAAGGGGAGACCAGTGAGACACAGTTCCTTGGTCTGCACGCAAGAGTAACATCCCGAGAGCCTCCCCCGCTCCAATCCTTCCAGCTCCACACCTGATCCATTTTGCTGTAATCCACCTCCTCGTCACTATCCACAGCCATGTCATCCATCCTAAAGAGAAGCAACATTTAAACAGATGGAGCAGACCTAGACCCCTATGCTTCATCTGGAAACCAACCCCACTAAGAGGCTATATTCCTAGGAATGACTACCCCACTTAATCTCCAGGAGTCTAACAGAAGAGTTCCTCCAGGTAAGAAGTGCCCCAACGTCCCATCAAATCAAATTTCCACCTCATACCTTGAAACTTTTTTTCTAGTCACTGCCCCCCACCACCCCGTGCCTTTTTTTTTTTTTTAGCAGTATCTCACGCACGTGGCTGGGTAGCACTCAGCATAACTGTTGGACATTCCAAAGAAATCTCCCAGTTGTTTCTTGTCCTCTGGCTTCTTCAGCATATGTTTTGTTAAAGAAAATAATTCTACTTATATAAAGAAGCTTCAAGCAAGAAGCATCAAGGGAAAGAAGTTCTCACATGAAAACTCTCCTTAAGGAGAGGGCTGTGAGCTGGAATGGATTTTCTGACAAAGGAAAAGGCACGGTAACTTCATCCAGGTCAAATTTAGCACAAAAGGGAAGCAGTGGGGTGGGCAAGGGGGTGCTGTGGAAAAGCAAGGAAGCAGGTGGAGTTAAAGGATAGATATTCTAGAACCCAAGAACATCTTTAGGGCCTCCCTGGTGGCACAAGGGGTTAAGTCAGCACTATAAAGCTCCTGGCAGCCACTGCAGCATAAGTCTGATCCCCGGCCAGGGAGCAACCCACATGGTGTGGCAGACCTCTCCTGTCTTGCCCGCTGGTCCCCTCAGCAGTGTATTTGAGTAGATTTGCCTGTTCTGCTCCCCACGCTGCCTCTGGTGAATCCTCTCACTGCCCCCCCACCCCATCCACAACATACACCTCTGGCTTACACCCCAGCTCCTGCATGCATAAAGACATGAAGAAGGAAGGAGGGAAGAAGG